ACCCCCCCACCACCACCACCACCACACACACAAAGGCAGGGCTGGGCCAACCAGAGCTGTGTGACCTTGGGCAAGCCCCTAACCCTCTCTGAGCCCAATCTCTGGTCTGGGCAGAATGAGAACTATAAGAGGAATCCTCCCACCTTCTCCAGGACCCAGAACTGGCAAACCGTGACCCCTGCCTCCCCAGCTACAGGGTGGGGGAGTCGCCGTGCCCCTCGTGCCCCTTGCCCCCGCTCTCACCCAGGTATCGCACCCACGTGTCCCGGAAAAGGTCGCGCTCAGCACCCTGCGGGGACGACTCGGACATGGCCCTTCGGCGGAGGCCCCGGCCACTGCAGCCGGTCCAGCCACCACTGCCGCTTCAAGCGTCCCCAAGCCCTCCTCCGGTCCAAGGTGGCCGGACGGACTGAAGGTCCCGGACTGAAGGACTGGCAGGTCGCGCTGTCACCAAAAGCAGGGAGCGTCTGTAAATTCCCCCGCGCACCAAAGCCCCTCTCCTGGGCTTGGATCTTACAGTTTTTCTTCACGTTTTCTAGGGCTTTCGAGGGTTGGCACGAGCCTCTCCCAGGACTGGCTGTGGTTCGAATGGAAGATCCTGTCCTTCCCAGCTGCACGTCAGAGCCATGTGACCTCACGCTTCTGTGCTTCTTTGAGCCTCAGTTTCTTCATTTCTTAAACGGGGTGCACCCCGGCGTTCACTCCCGGGACGAGGGTGAATAACAAGTCATCTTTGACTGTGTTTACTACCGGCCAGACCGTTGGCCAAAGACGAACAGCTGAAGACTTTACCGGGGGAAAGACTCTATAGACAGATGACTTCCTTAAACCCTCCCATCAACCTGTGACCCCCATTTTTCAGACGAGGAAATAGAGGCTCAGAAAAGATGGGGCACGTTCCCAGGTCATACAGCTGCTACGCTATGACGCCGGCATTGGCTCCAGATCCCGTGCTCTTAGATCTCAGTCAGCGAGGCTGGGAGAGTGAGTGGTGAGCACCTGGTGAGATGGATACTTGGGCTCTAAAGGCCCTTCCCGACACGTGCCATGGTCATCTGTCAGCACTGACATCTAAACTGGATCACTATGGAAACTGGGCAGACCCTCTTGGGGACAAGACCTTGAATGAATGAATGAATGAATGCATCATGAGGCCAGGGAAACAGGATTGTGATGTAAGACTTCAGGGAAACGAGCAGAACAGAATGAGGGGGTTTGGGGGGGAGTGATGACTAAGGAGGGCGCTCTTCCCCCGCTGAACCTCAGTTTACCCATGTGAGCCATGAGTGCAGCTTCGTGAATCTTTTGGGGGGGGGGAGGGGTAGAGCAAGTAAAGACACAGCCATTAAAGACAGGCAGTCCTGGGTTCCAGTCCCAGTTGTGCCACCTATTACCTGCTGGCCACCGCTGTAAAAAAAAAAAAAAAAAAAAAAAAAGAGAGAGACCATCTAATATTTACTGCGTGCTCACGTGTACCAGGCTCTCTTCCAAGCGCTTTGCACATACTATTTCTTCGTAAGTACAGAGGTGTGTGGTACCCAGTAGACGTTCATTAAAGAATTAGCTTTTATTATCATTAAATGACGTTGGAAAAAATGAAGACGACTGACTCCCTCCCCTTTTCAGCCCTCGGCGTCGCTGTCTCCGGAGGGTCGGGTTCGACAGCCTGGTCAGCCGTGACCTCTCGGGAAGCCGGGCTCGGGGGCTCAAAGAGATACCCAGCCCCTGACTCACGGGCAGCGCCGGCGCAGAATTAGGAGACGGTCCCTAACACCACGTGATGGTTCCTTCCCTCCCCCTCCCTCCCCACTCCGGCCCACCGCGGGCACCGCGCGCTTGCCAGACCCACGTGTCTGCGCGCAAGAACCGCCTGGCGTCCTGCGCGCCCTTAGAAACCCGAGCGGGGCGGGGCTTCCGCCCTGACCGTGAAGGCGACCAGAGCACCCTTAGTGCCCTTAGCAAAGATGGCGGAAGACAGCCCACTGGGTAGGCCAATCAGGAGGCGAGTTGGCCGCGGGGCGCCAGAAAGCTCACGCCAGAGAAGAGCCGGGAGTGGTTTCTGCGCATGCGCCCCGCCTACTATTGGCGGATAGAGGTCGCTAAGCTCAGGGCTCTCTGGGTGACGCGTGAGCAGCGAAGAACGAGGCGGTAGGCATGGACTTCCACTTTCTGTGCATTGAACGTTGCTTTATTCATTGGTTAATTTTCCTAACAGAGCGTTGTAAACCAAGGTCGGGATGTCCTCCTGAGTGTTCTGGCTGGGACCCATGCGGGCTCAGGGGGCCCCCCCTCCTCCTGCTCCCGTCCGCTCCGCCAGGCCAGCTCCCAGGCTGGGCTGCCTTCTCGTGTTCTGTGCCTCTGTGCAGCCCAGGACCTGGTTTGCGTTTGCAGGACGTGGGATTGGGATAAGCGCGATGGTGGCTCGAAGGGTCCTTGCCCTCCAGCTCCTGGTCGCTGAGCGGGCCCATGGCCATCCCTGCTTGTCACCGTGGGTGGAGGGGCCGGGGGCCTGCGAGGCTGTTTGTGGCGGCCCCCAGTCCCGGGCTCTCCCAGATGCTGGCCCTGCCTTTGGCCCCCTGCCCGGGCAGCCTCCCCGCCAGGCACTAGGAACCCATGGCGCCCACCGTACGCCTCTCCCAGAGATGGGAACTGCCCAGGCTTTGTTCGGGCCGACAGGGAGCGGGTCGGCGGGCACCGTGGACGGCTCAGACCGGCATATGCCCTCACTGAGTTCTACCGTCTGGATCCTACCTGTCATTTTTGTGTGGGGTGCTCACATGGGAGGCTGGAAACCTCAGGCTCACACGCACCCCGAGCCTCCCTTCCCTCCCCAGACCTGGGATCCCTGGAGGTAATTTCCCTGTGCTTTGTTTGCATCGGAGGACAGTGGCCGGGTACCGAAGCTCACTGTCCCAGGAAGCTCTGAATCAATGACAATCATCAGTAATTAAATTGGCAGCCGTAGGGACCCCGGAGTTGCTGAAGTTCTCAAGGTGAGGGCAAGACCTGCCTGTGTACCCCTGAGTGGGAAGCTCTATGTCACCTGTGGGCCACCTCCTGAGACGGGGGAAAGCCACAGGACCCCAGCCTCAGTGATAGAGGGTTTAGAAGCGCCTCTGACCCCCGGCGTAACTCTAGCAACTCCTTCTGCTGCTCATTATGATCTAGGGCTTACGTATTCATTTGGTTGCAAGTTCCTCTCCCCTGCTGCTGGCTTTGCTGAAATGTTACGTTTCAGTCTCTCCCCTTTTTTTCCAGTTTCTTCCCTGCTGCCACCCCATAGGACCCCCTTCCTGTCTCAGCTGTCACAGGTGGGTGCTGTAGGCACAGTTTTCAGGACATACAGACCCCCTTCACAGTGCCCAGCCCCTGGGGACTCCTCCGTAGCTTGAAAGACCGGGAGACCCCCTCCTGCTCTGCTCCCTCTTCCTAATTCTGAAATGAAAACTCCCCAGATTCAAGCTGAGGTCTTCCTTCTAGCCCCAGTTCCTTTGGGCATCAGGGTGCTGGAAAAATGACTGCGACGGGGGACAGAAACTGACGGGGAGACACTGAGGGAGCCAGGCCTGCGGTGGGAGGAGGCATTACATTGGGGTGACCCCCCCCAGCTGTTCGATCTTCTCTTCTGAAGCTTTGTCTGGAAGCAGGACCTCCACCGTGAAGCTGACCTTCTTGGCATGAATGAAGCTGTAGGTGTTGTCAAACCGCAGGACATCTGAGGGGAGGCAGAAAACAGGGCGTTCAGGCGGTTCCGCCGAAGGGCTTGGGGACAGCGGTGTTTGTTGACTGAGCAAGGCCAGGTGGTAGGTACTGAGGATGATGGTAGCATTAAGCAGGGGTCCTTCACCTTCTGCAAGTGAGTCTAGCTGGATGGACAAAGGGTTCCCTAGAACATGCCAAGTGCCAGATGAGTGAGAGAGAACCACTTCTGTAAAGCTTGGAAAGAGAGCGCCCTGTAGGGTGAAATTATGTGAAAGGCCTTTTTAGAGGAGTTAGAGCTTGAACTGGGCCTTGAATGTGAGGAGTAGAGCCCAGTTGGCACGGCCCAGTGGTTTGAGCATCGACCTAGGAACCTGGAGGTCTCGGTTCGATTCCCGGACCGGGCACATGCCGGGGTGGCGGGCTTCATCCCCAGTAGGGGTTGTGCGGGAGGCAGCCTATCGATGATTTTCTCTCATTATTGATGTTTCTATCTCTGTCTCCCTCTCCCTTCCTCTCTGAAATCCATAAAAGTGAGGTGTAGAATTCATAGCAGCGATCGGTCATCGTTACAACAATAAGAGTAATGGTAACGATTGCTCTTTCTGTGAGTCAGCACTGGGTTGGTAACCTATACGTGTTATTTCACTATTTCTCAAAATAACTATGAGTTCAGCATGAGTCCTGTCTTACGTCCTATAAAAAAAGGAAGTCACTGGGTCACACAGAGAGGAAGTGATAGAACTAGAATTTCCCTCTGGTCCGAACTGCTGCCTGACGCGGGCCCTGGAAAGCCCTGCCCTGTCCCGTTTCTGACAAAAGGTAAACTGTGCAAACTTTTCGAAGCAGGACTGTTATCCCACAGGAAGATACACGGGCAAAGACGTTCATTGCACCCCTATTTGGGGGACTGAACGCTTGGGAAAACGCCAGTGTTCTAAGGAGAATTGCTTGCAAAGTTTATACTGCAATCCATATGATGAAATACTGTTCTGATGGTAAAAGAAAGGAGTTAGCCTCCTAAGAAGTGCCTGGGGGAAATGGCCACAGTTATCCTTTGGCCAAAAAAAAAAAAAAAAAAAAGTTGCAGAACAGGTTGAATAGTTTGTAACGTTTGGGTTCATAGAGATATGAAAATTACTGTGGGCTTTGCTGCTCTGTCTACCCGCACTCCCAGTTCTCTTGGGTGACACTATTCGGGTGCCTGTTCCGAAAGGGAGGCTTTCACGTGGGGCCATACCACCCTGAACACGCCTGATCTTGTCTGCAGGGAACGTTTCTCAAACCCTGGGACAAGTGTTACAATTTCAAAGTTCCTGCCAACATACACCGAATGACAGACGTGAATGGGTACGTGTGTGCGCACATCCTGTGTATTACGGCAACATGTGATGCTTGTAAAGGGACAGTACTCTGATAAGTGAATAGATAAGACCTGTTAGGGGTGGTTCCCTCTGCGGAGAGGAAACGGGGCCGACCGCGTTTAATCCAACCCCCCTTTTTTTGGAGAGTCCGTTCCATTTCGGTCCAATAACCCCTTCGAGAGAACAGAGTATGAGAACAAAACAGCTCGCTCTGCTCCTTCTCCATCCTGGTCTTCTCTCACTTTGCCCAGCACAAACGAACAAACTGTGCATTTAATCCCGATACTTCCCCTGGCCCCTTCCCCGCCCCTAGATCAGGTGCGTAGTTTAGAACGACGGTAGATACACCACCCTCCATCTTCGTGGTCTGAGGTGAAGATTAATCGCTGATTCTCTCTTTGCCAGAGGCCTCTCAGGACCCCTGATCCTTCTGGAAAGAGGGGCGCTTGCTCTCGGCCCTGGATGGCAAAGCCTTAGCAACCAGGGTCCGTGGTACTAGAGGAGTCTTCGCGCTCTCGGACCAAGCACCGTCGAGACGGCTCTGCCTCGCGTGATATTCTGGCCTCAGAAGCAAGGGAGGAGCTGTTAGGAGGCCCAGGCCGAGGGTAGTGGAGTTCCTGAATTGCATGGCTCGTTTGGACACTAATCTTGTATCACAGACTCGGAGAGCCCCCAGAGATCCTCCAGGCGAGCGAGGGCTCCTCAACTTTTGCTGGGGAACTGACCCCCTTGAGAATCTGATGCTTTCATCCGGAGATGAAATTTGCACACCATCTCAGATCCTCTGGGGCCCATCATGGACCCTCCGGGGCAGAGGTCCCCACTGGGAAAGGTGCCAATCTGAAGAGACTGGCTATAAGCATGCCCTCTCATGTCTGTACTGAGAAATAGATACAAGGTATCTCCCCCAAAAATGTATACACACTTAACCACCGACAGTTCAATGGCTGTTTCTTTCTTTACAGATTGAACCCATTGGAATTAATAATTATTCCAAGGGTGTGTATACATTTTGGGGGACACCCTGTATTCTAAAGTAGCTTCTTTTAATTTCTCCAAATAAGGAGATAATATTGATTTTTAAAAATTATCTGTGTGAGTTGTTATATTTTAGGATAGTCAAGGGGACAATAAGACACTATTATTATTATAAAGGGGGAGGTGTTTGTTCTTTAAGATTTACACTGAGTGGCCAGATTACTATGACCACCCCATCAGTACTTCATTGACACTTCCAAAAATACTGAATATTGGAAACTTCTTAAGCAAATACTCTCAAGGTTTTATTATTATTACTAGAGGCCCATTGCAGGAAGATTCCTGCAAGAATAGGGCTTCGCTCCAGTCTCTGCCGCTCCTACCCCGCCCTTCTCTGCCGCTTCTCTCCCGCCTGCCTCCGCTACCTCGGCTCTGTTGCTTGGCTTCAGTCTTCGATCCCAGCCGGTATATGCAAATTAGTTGCCATCTTTGTTGGCGGTTAATTTGCATATCACTCTGATTAGCCAATGGTGGGCGTAGTGAAAGTACGGTCAATTTGCATCTTTGTCTATTATTAGATAGGATTTGCATAACTAATTCACTTCATTGTATTGATGGGGTGGTCATAATAATATGGCCACTCAGTGTATAATGACTGCTCTGGGGAGTCCCTGAACCCCAGATTAAGATTTCTTGCTCTGGCTCACTCCCCGAGTTTTAAGGAGAAGAGGAAAACTTAACTATGTAGGGGCACTTACTCAAAAGCATTCAGAGAGCCCATCTGGCTTGGCTCAGGGGTTGAGCGTTGACCTATGAACCAGGAGGCGGCCCATTGATGTTTGTCTCTCTCATCAATGTTTCTCTCCCTCTCCCTTCCTCTCTCTCTAAAATCAATAAAAACAGCCCAGCCGATGT